CATTTAATAACTGTGTCCTTGAGAAACTAGTTAACCTTGCTGATCTCATCATATGTGCATACACACATACACACAACAACAACAACAACAACAACAACAACAACAACAACAATAACAACAACCTTGTCAGGTTGTTGTGAGAACTAATCGACTTAAATATGGAAATATCTCACATAATCTATGGACTTAATATCAGTTTTCTTTCTCTCCCTTCCTTCCTCTTAAATATTAGTAATTTGTTTTCTGACATATGGTGATAAAAACTACACAGAATTCAGAGACAGACATACCATAGCTTTGTTCAACAAGAGGAAAATGGTTTGTTTTCAGCCCCCTTCTTGACAATATCTAAATAACATTTCATTGATTCATTGATCTTGGGGATAAAAAAGTACACAGGGCAACATTTCTTGGGGAACAATCTTTGTCTACTTTCCTGGCTTAAAATAGATAGTTGAGATGTCATCATTCTGTATGTATCTTTTTGATTAAATATAGCCCAATACCTCCATGCTGTCAGGGATATTCAGAGAGGACACCAAAGCATAACGGACTCTACTGTCTATACAGTGGCTAGAAATTTGTTAGCCAATTTTTCACTGGCTGGGGGAGTGGCAAGGTTTAACACAATCCCAGCTTGGTTCCTTCAGGATTTATTTACTTGTTTTACACAACAAATAAGACCTCTACCTTATTATGATGTTGACTTGATTTACTTTAATATTATAAAATTTCAGATTTGGAAGAGTTCTTAGATGCCATATGGTCCAACAGTCTCCACAATACATAAATCTGCTTTGTGTTATCCCTAACAATGGTCATCCAGCTTTCATTTGAACACTTGAAGAAGAAATTTAATAATTCTTGGGCAGCCCATTCTATTGTTGGATAATTCTGATTGTTAGACACATCAATGTCATATTAAGCAGAAATATTCTTCCTGGTAACTTCCTCCCATTGATCCTAATTGTTTTTCCCCTGGAGAGGAGTCCTATTTGCTCAAAAACATAGAGACTTCTATCTAGACACTTAAAGGTCTCTTACAACTCAATAATAAGACAAGCAACTCAATGAAAATAGGCAGAAGACCTAGACACTTCATAAAAGTAGATATACAGATGGCAAACAAGCACACGAAAAGATGCTTATCATTAGTTATTACAAAAGGGCAAATTGAAACCACAGGAGATACTGCTTCATACACAATAAAATGGTTTAATAAATCCTGACAACACTAAGTGACAGTGAAGATGTAGAGCCACTGAAACTCTCATATATCACTGATAGAGCTACAAAATTGTAGAACTGCTTTGGAAAACAGTTTGGCAGCTTATTATAAAGTTAAACATACAATTACTATACAACCCAGCAAAAAATTTATATTTATATAAAAACATAAATGATAATTATATCTCATCAGCTTTATTCATAATAGCCAAAATGTGGAAACAAACCAAATGCTCATCAACTACTGAATAAATAAGCAAATCGTAGTACATTTATTATATAGAATACTACTAAGCAATAAAGAGGAACAAACTACTCATACATACACTGACAAGGATGTATCTTAAATGTATATTTCTAAATGAAATATGTCAGAAAGCTATGTATTATATGATTCAATTTCTATGACATTCTAAAAAAGGTAAAATTATAGAGTTAGAAAATAGATCATTGGTTGCCAGGGTGGAGAGAGAGAGACAAATGCTTGCAAAAGGGACAAAGGGACTATTTTGAGGGTAATGTAAATATTCTATATCTTGATGGTAGTGATATTTACACCACTGTATATATTTGTCAAAACTCATCAACCTGTAACGCATGAATTACAAATAAAATAAACAAGAAATTGTAAAAGAATACATCTAAATCATTAAGAGTGGGAGAGGGAAGCAAGAAAATATCGAGTATTTTTTCCTTTTGGTAGGATGGGTTTGAGATATAGTAATGGGCTAATAGACTTACAGAAAAGGGTAACCACAAGCCAAAAACTAACAAGGGAGTCACAAAAATTAAATAAAATCCATGATAATACAATGGAAAATTACCAAACCACAGAAGGAAGAAGAACTGAACAAAGAGGAAATACCAAATCAACTGCAAAAATAAGTTCAAAATGGCAATAAACACACATCTATCATTCATTACTGTAAATGTTAATGGACTAAAAGACATAGAGTGGCAGACTGGATAATTAAGCAAGAACCTTCAATATGCTGCATACAAGAGACCCACTTTAGGGAGAAGGACACATATAGATTGAGAGTGAAAGGATGGAAAAGGATATTCCATGCAAATGGAAAAGCCAAAAAAGCAGGTGTTGCAGTACTGATTTCAGACAAAATAGACTTTAAAACAAAGGCCATAAAGAAAGATAAAGAAGGACATTGTATAATGATTAAAGGAGTGATACAAGATGGGGATATTACACTCATTAATATATATGCGCCCAATATAGGAGTACCTAAATACATAAAATAATTACTAACAGAGATAAAGGGGGATATTGATGGGAATACAATCATAGTTGGAGATTTTAACACCACATTGACATCACTAGACAGATATTCCAAACAAAAAATAAATAAGGAAACAGAGAAATTAAATGATACAATAGAAAAATTAGAGTTGGTGGGTATTTCCACAGCATTACATCCCCCCAAAATAGGATATACATTCTTTTCAAATGCACATGGAACATTTTCTAGAACTGATCATGTACTTGGGCCAAAAGAAACCTCAACAATTTTAAGAAGATAGAAATTATCTCAAGCATTTTACTGACTACAATGCCATGAAACTAGAAATCAACTACAGAAAAACAAAGGAGAAAAAAAGGACAGCATGGAAATTAAACAACATGTTATTAAAAAACCAATGGTCAATGATGAAATCAAAGTTACAATTAAAAAATACCTTGAGACAAATGAAAATGAAAACACAACCACCCAAAATTTATGGGACGCAGAAAAGGCAGTGCTAAGAGGGAAGTTTACAGCAAAGCAGGCCTTCCTCAAAAAAGAAGAACAATCTCAAATAAGCAATCTAACCCACCAGCTGAAAGAACTAGAAAAAGAAGGGCAGAAAACCCCAAAAGTCAGCAGAAGATCAGGGAGGAAATAAACAAAATAGAAATTTAAAAAAACATAGAAAAAATCAATCAAACCAAAAGCTGGTTTTTTGAAAAAGTAAATAAAATCGACAAACCTCTGGCCAAATTCACAAAGAAGGAAAAAGAGAGAGCACAAATAAGCAAAATAAGAAAGTAAAATGGAGAAATTACAACAAATAACATAGAAATACAGAATATCATATGAGAATACTATGATAAACTATATGGAACCAAAAGGATAACCTAGAGGAGATGGACAAGTTTCTGGAAACATACTGTCCACCAAAACTGAATCAAGAAGAAACTGACCACTTGAACAACAGATTACTAGAAATGTAATTTAATTAGCAATAAAAATCCTCCCTACAAACAAAAGTCCAGGAATGGACCGCTTCACCGGGGAATTCTACCAAACATACAAAGAAGAACTTATACTGGTCCTTCTCCAACTCTTCCAGAAGATTGAAAAGGAGGGAATACTCCCAAATTCATTCTGTGAAGCCACCATCACCCTGATACCAAAACCAGGCAAAGGCACTGCCAAAAAGAGAACTACAGACCAATATCATTGATGAACATAGATGCAAAAATCCTTACCAAAATATTAGCAAATAGAATCCAACAGCACATAAAAAAGATTATACATCATGAAAGATGTTTTATACATGCATACAATATTTAACAGGGTACCCTGAACAATAAATTGTAGTTTCAAGTAATAGGAACAATATTATTGTCATTATACTTATTTTGATGGAGCTCCCATCCAAATCATCTTGAAAAGTTACTGTGGAAAATATTTATTTATAAATTTATAAATATTTCATACATGTGTAAGAAAACGATCTCTGACTTTAAGAACCATGCATAGTAATAAAAGGCAACTTATCACTTGCTCTAAGACTGTAACAAAAGTAGCAGATATTTATTGAGTCATCAGTATTCGCTTTATTCACCACTGTTCTAAGTGTTTTACATGTATAACTCATATTTTCATAACAATTCTATGAAATAGGTATTATTTTTTTTCAATTCTACACATGAATAAAATGAGCACAAGGAGGTCAAATACTTTACTAAGAAGTAGTGGAGCCAGGGTTAGAATTTACTGTCCAGCTCCTAAACTCATACTTTTCATGACTATGATCTACTGTCTTCCCACCACTCTGATCTATTGCCTCTATAGCCAACACCTCTGTTAAATGAGTAATTTCAAACTAGAGCTTTAAAACAGCATAGTATGAATGCTATGTAGTTAATGAATTACCAAAATTAATTTCCAAGAAAGAAGAATTAAAAGTGGCTATATAAATAATTATGGCTATACATGATAAAATAATGTGAAACTAAACATTTGTTAAGGTTCATGCTTAGCTTACACATTTTTTGATGGAGAATGCCTCAGTCTCTTTAGAATGGAAGTACAAATTGCAGATCAAGCCAAGATGGGGGTGAGTAGTGGGGAGAAGTACAGTAAATACATTAAGAATGGTGATGGTGAAAGACTTAGCCCTTAAAAGCTCCCCTGCGATGCTCTTACTTCATGCCTTGAAAAGGGGATCAATTGGGTAGGAAGGGAAGACACCTGGGACAATAGTGATGAATCAAGAGAAAGCTAGGGTCAATCTGGCCAATGGCCTACCTGTGCCTTTCTCTATCATAAATTCTGGTAATTTCCAGTTTCTGTTCTACAGCCAGAGGAGCTACTGAAAATGTGTTCTACTCTGTCTCTGGGTAAGTTTCCTAAAAACCATCATCCTAAACATTCCACTCACCTCAGTGTATTCCTGGGAAAGTCGCTCAATTTATAGGATTTAATGTAATTCATTTTTAAACAGAAAAAGGAATACAGTCCCAACCAAAACAACTTACAACATCCTCTTACCTTTTTCTGCTGGGCTCAAAACAGTCACTGTGAAAAGAAAGGAAAAGGTAAAAATTAGTGATATATAGAAACATTATTTTTCTAATTTGTTTTTCCATAACATCATTTTTTTTAGCAATTTATTCAATGATACTTTAGGAAACCACCAGCTTGCTAACATAAAGGAAGGCAAGGATGATTAAACTTTGTCCTTTGCTATCTTCCTTCATCTTAAACCTTGAGTAATTAGGAAGGGATAGACCGGGATTTCAAAATTGTAGAATAGATAAACAAGATTACACTGTATAGCACAGGGAAATATACACAAAATGTTATGATAAATCACAGAGAAAAAAAATATGACAATGAGTGTGTATATGTCCATGAATGACTGAAAAATTGTGCTGAACACTGGAATTTGACACAACATTGTAAAATGATTATAAATCAATAAAAAATGTTAAAAAAGAGAATTTCTACCCATTCAACAAATACAAGAATAATTTGATTTTTTATAAAATCAACAAATGGAAAAACTCAATCTTTATATAAAGCATAGTAGGAAGAACTTAAGTGCTAATAAATTAGGAGATGATTATTCATTTTCTGAAGTATTCACTGTAGAACATATTTAAAGACGAAGTTTCTCCTGTATATTTAAAGATAATATAGTGTAGAGGTTTAATGCCAGCTTTGAAGTGAGACTTTCTGGGTTAGAAGCCCAACTGCACTATTTTGTGACCCTGGGCAAGTTCCTTAACTTCCTTAACAGTACCTACCTCACAAGGTTACTTGAGAACTAGGTGAATTAATGTATTTAAATACTGTTTAGCATAGTATCTAGCACAAGGCAAGTACTTAATGAATATTAGTTGTTACTATATTTGAACTAAGATTTCATAAATTATCAGAACGGGTAGGGACTTTAGCAATTATCTGGTTTATCTGTCTCACTTTACACATGGGAAAAATGGACTAAAGTAGTATCAAATGATTTGCCCAAGGTCATAAGCAAGTTAGTGGTGGAGTTGGGAATATATTCTAGTCTCCAGGGCTTTTTCATATATTGTGTCTACTTTCACCAATCAATCCTTGCTGGCTTACTGTGAGATTTTACATATATACATCTTCCATTTAGAATGTAATTTGTACAAAGCGGTGCCTACCTGTCTTTGGTCACTGCCACCATCTGTGTGCACTTGTACTTGGTACTAAGGTAAAGTGAAATTATAAGGCATGGCTCTAAATCTTGAGAAGCTATTAAAGTGGTTTTCATACACAATGATAAACACTTGAGTCAGAAAAGTGGGGAAAAAGTCCAGAGAGTAAGACTATATTCTAGGGGCTATTTTCTCAGGTTCTTCATCAGTCATACTTTCTCCTTATCTTTATTTGCAGGTCTATTTTCATTGAGTCTTTAAAAATGCTCCTTTTAATGATCCTTTGAATGTACTTTGTTAAAACTGTTCCATTCTGTATATGCTAAAAATCTGACCAGATAATGTACTCTTTTTTTTCTAATGTACTATCCTGAACATTGATACCAATTTCTCTCTTTTCTTTTCCCTTTATAGTTAAAGAATCCTGGTTATGAATGATTGAAAGAATCACATCCTCTACTTAAACAATATAAATGGAAGTGGAAACAAGAAGTTTCCACATTCCAAAAATAGGTCAAATTGGGACTTCATGATTTCGCACATGCATATTTTGTGACAACATCAGTTGCACTAGGCCTTGAATTGGGTTAATAACATCTCTTTTAAATAGAATTAGAGAGAGAAGAGTTGCTTGGAGACCAATTTTAATAAAGAATAGCTAACAAATTGCTGCTTGGTATATTTGGTATATCTCCTTCTACCTCTATGATTGAACACTCATTGCTAAACAAAAAGTGGAGGTTCTAACTTGGCCAACTTTTTGGTGAGGGAAGGAGATCATCCAGTGCTTTGAAAATACCAAAATGAGATAATGTATATACTGAAAAATGAGTGGGAATCAGTGAAGTCTCTAGGTAGGGGATAGCTGCCTTTAAGTAATTTTAGGACAATTATGTGCTAGTGGGATTGGTGTATATGATTCAAGAACAGAGGGCAGAAATAGAATCAATGGGCAAAGCTTTAGGTCAACACATTTCAGCTCAACAAAGGAAAAAACAATGATGATGATGATGATGATAATGATAACAATGACCAGCCAGGCTGGCAGCAATGGAAGGAGTGAGGATCCCACTAAACACTTTGAAATATTGTACAGGACATTTAGACATTAGTTAGGTAGTAGACTTGACTTTTAAAGTCCTTTTCACTCCTAAAACTGTAAGGAGTTAATAAGTCTAAGGAAAAAATCTTTTCTTGTAAAATTTCCTGTTTCATACTTCTGAGGAAAAGAAAGAGGTCTTTATTCTAAAAGATTGTGGCACTTATCTTGGTAGTTCTGCCTTTCCTTTATTTTGCTAATATAGTCTTTGGTGTTATTAATGGAAGAGATGAAGAATACTTCAGTCATATTTAAAATCAAAATGTTACAAGAATCATATTAAACTTTTACAAAATGAATACTTTATCATGAATCTCTTGGTGTACCCTTAAGCCATACTATGGGTAGCTTGCCATGTATGATTACAGAGTGATGTGGTATATGTGTAATTACATACCTGCTCTGTTTCTTCAATTTTTAGCTATTTAATGGGGAGTTAAGTGACTGGGATTAGCATCAAATGGCTTTTTTCACACTCTCCTGTTTTCTCTTACCTATTTACTGATTCTTTGCAACCAAGTATGGAGAAAAGCTAAGGAAGGATGGAGTATATTCAAGGGCTTTTCATCAGTGACAGCTAGTTTCAAACCCAAGTATATTTTATGACTTCCTTCAAGTAGACACATATTTTAGAGTTCACAGAAGGGTATTGGTAGAATAAGCCTAATTTGGGAATATATGAGGATGGTCAACAACTGTAGTAGAAAGGACATAGAAGAAATTCTACAACAGTGCTTTCCAAGAGAAATATAATGCAAACCATGTAATTTAAATATTCTAGTAGATCCCTCACAACACACACAAAAACAAACTCAAAATGGCTTAAAGACTTAAACATAAGACAAGATACAAGAAATCTCCTAGAAGAAAACATAGGCAAAACATTATCTCACATACATCTTAGCAATGTCCTCTGAGAACAGTCTACCCAAGCAATAGAAATAAAAGCAAAAAAGAACAAATGGGACCTAATTAAACTTACAAGCTTTTTCACAGCAAAGGAAACCATAAGCAAAACAAAATGACAACCTAAGGAATGGGAGAAAATATTTGCAAAATATGAAACTGACAAGGGCTTGATTTCTAGAATATATAAACAGCTCAAACAACTTAATAAGAAAAAAAAACCCAATCCAAAAATGGGCAGAAGACCTAAACAAGCAATTCTCCAGGGAAGACATACGAATGGCCAATAGACACATGAAAAAATGCTCAGTATCACTAATTATCAGAGAAATGCAAATCAAAACTACAATGAGGTATTCAACTCACACCAGTCAGAATGGCCTTCATTAAAAAGTCAACAAATGATAAGTGCTGGAGACGGTGTGTAGAAAAGGGAACCCTCCTACACTATTGGCGGGAATGTTGTTTGGTGCAGCCACTGTGGAAAACAGTATGGAGATTCCTCTAAAGACTTAAAATAGACTTACCATATGACCCAGCAATCCCACTCCTGGGCATATATCCAGAAAGAACCCTACTTCAAAATGACACCTGCACCCCAATGTTCATAGCAGCACTATTTACAATAGCCAAGACATGGAAACAGCCTAAGTGTCCATTCACAGATGACTGGATAAGGAAGTTGTGGTATATGTATACAATGGAATATTACTCAACCATAAAAATGATAAAATAATGCCACTTGCAGCAACATGTATGTCCCTGGAGAATGTCATTCTAAGTGAAGTAAGCCAGAAAGAGAAAGAAAAATACCATATGATATCACTCCTATGTGTAATCTAAAAAAAAAAAGACAAATGAACTTATATATAAAACAGAAACAGACTCACAGACATAGAATACAGACTTGTGGTTACCGGGGGCAGGGGGTTGGGAAGGGATAAACTGGGAGTTTGAGATTTGCAGATACTGACTAGTATATATATATAAAATAGATAAATAAGTTTATAGTGTATAGCACAGGGAAATATATTCAATATCTTGTAGTAGCTTATCATGAAACAGAATATGAAAATGAATATATGTATATTCATGTATGACTAAAGAATTGTGCTGTACACCAGAAATTGACACAACATTGTAAACTGACTATACCTCCATAAAAAAATAATGTTCTAATAGAAACATTTTTAAAAGTTAAAAAATACCAAGTGAAGTAAACTTTAATAATATATTTTATTTAATCCCATATATCAAAAATATCATCAGTTCAACATATTATTTACATAAAGATTATGAATGATATATTTCACATATTTCTTTTTGAATTAGACTTTTGAAATCTTGTGTATATTTTATGTTTTCCAGTAATGTTTCAATTCAGATGACACATTTCAATTGTTTAATAGCCACCTGTGGCTAGTGGCTACCAAATTAGACAGCGAAGCTCAAAAGGACTTGTGAAAGGAGAGTAGGAAGGTTGAAAATATGATTCTAGCGAAATGAGTGCTCAGTTGCAACGTGAAGTTCTCTTAATTAATGACTCATTTGGAGAGGGAGTTTACTGTAGTGATGTATAGCATACACTTTGATATGTATTTATATTTTGGCTCTGCCACTTACTTGTTCTGTGATTATTTTATGTTTGTACCTAAGTTTTCTCATCTGTAAAATGAGGATAAAATTATTTATGCTATAAGGTTGTTATATGAATTAAATTATAAAATATATGTAAATTTCTGGGGTGCCTGGTACATACTAGGTACCTGATTATTGTTACCTATTAATTATTACTTTTCTGAGAAGGCAAACTGTTTAGTGAAGTTAAGTTTTATAATAGATTGGGACAGAACAAGTCTTATTTAAAAAATATTTATGATATT